AGTAAAAATAACGTGGTAAAAAAATGTCGTCTGGCACAGGAATGCAAAAGATAACAGAAATTGAACTGCACGCGAGCAGAAGTAAACAAACACTGATTGGTCAATACCGACCACGTGCGGATGTAGATTGACCCTAATTAACATAATTTATGCATTTCACTCATATCGGCAATATTACGCGACAGACAGACAGACAGACAGACACACACACAGACAGACAGGGTAACTGCAAAGACTCCCATTGTGTGCTTCGCACACGGGAGTAAAAAAAAACTAAGAAACTTTACAATTTATTGAGAACAAAGTCAAACATGAACGTGTACCAACATGAACTTGGAGTGTCACTTACAGTTTACTCACAGCCATAGTCGTAATATGTTATACGAGCTAGTATGCATCTCAAGGGAAAGTATTGCCATTCATGAATTCATTAGCAACCATACTCACTCATGTAATACTAAATATAAATTTACAGGGATACATTTTTTTATATTAAGTAATTCTTTTTATTATTTTGAATTTTTGACTTTGGACATTTAATACAACCTTTGGAAGATATTCCTACAAATAAATATAGGTGTGTATGATGACGAATGTGACAAAAATGTGAGACTGTACATGGAAATATAGTAATATGGCCAAGCAAAAAGAATACCGGAAGTACCTATACCTATACATCTTTGATCTGATTATAAAACAAATCATTCTGCACATGTACAAGCCAGACAGTCATCTTTAAAGGGAAACCTTCCAAGCCCAGGGATTGCACCAAAGAATCATGGGACACTATTGTTTATGTTGTTTACAAAGTTAATCTATCTTTTGTTATCCATTGTGATTTTAATCCAGAAAGTAAATTTGTTGTGAGATTAGGCTTAACTGGAAGTGCCCATTTAAGGAAATCACAAATAAACATGATCTAAATATAAATGAAAACATTACATAGGTGATAATAAAATGGCCAAAAATGGAAATGGCTGCCAGTCGACCATTTTTGATTTGATTGTGAAACTCACTGTCATAGATATGTATCCTAACATGGATAAGAATGCATCTTTATGATACATTTTCAAAAAAATTATAATCATGGATATGTATCTCAACATGTATATTAAGTATATCAAACCGATAAAGCATGACCAATATACCACATTTTCAGATACAAAAAAGATGGTTGCCAGTAAGCCATCTTTGAAACAAACTGACATGAACATGTATTCCATCATGTATAATGTATGTGCAAAATAGGAATGACAATGGTCCATAAGCCTTGGAGATATAATAGTATGGACGAAAAGCAAGACGGCCGCTAGTCAGCCATCTTTGATCTGATTGTAAAACAAATTGTCAGTGATGTGTATTTTAATATGTATAATGCATGTACCAAACTTGAATGAAAATGGCAAAGCATTTAAAAAAAAAAAGATGTCAGCCAGTCGGTCATTTTTGATCTGATTGCAAAATAAATAATCATGAACATGTATTATGGATGGAACAAATTTGAACAAAAATTTGAAAGCAAATCCAAGATACCACATTTTCAAAAAACAAAAAGGCCTGCCAATCAGCCATCTTGGATTGAATCAGTAAACCACTGCATGTGCACATGTCCCAGATTTGGTCTAGAGGGCCCAATATACATCCACATGGGGTTACATACCACCATATGGATTGACACATCACCATATGGGCAGTTATACCACCATATGGATTGATACATCACCATATGGGCAGTTATACCACCATATGGATTGATACATCACCATATGGGCAGTCATACCACCATATGGATTGATACATCACCATATGGGCAGTCATACCACCATATGGATTGATACATCACCATATGGGCAGTTATACCACCATATGGATTGATACATCACCATATGGGCGGTCATACCACCATATGGATTGATACATCACCATATGGGTAGTTTACCACCATATGGATTGATACA